GAATTATTTTGGTAAATTATTTTGATGATGCATTACAATTACTTACACCTAAATTTTCTTGTAATTTTTTATAAGTAAAGTCATCTGCAATAATTGATAATATATGACGTTTTCCATCATGATTTCTTTTATTATTCTCTAATACATGATTGAAGCATTGCCAAAAAGTTGAAGTTGAATCTTTAGTAGAAGCTGAAATATCCTTAACAAGAAGTTTCATTTGATATAATTGGGTAAGTAATGCATGATCTTGTTCTGGATTGTTCGATTTTGACCAAAATTGATACTAAAACATAAATGTTTATTTTTGTAGAATTTTACAAGATTTTTTTTTGATCAAAAAAATAAATTATATCAGAGTCACTCAATAATACCTGTTCTTCACGTGACCAAGGAGTCACATTGTTAGCACCAGCAGCATGAAGAAAGCATGCCACGCTCTTATTTCCCAAATACTGAATTGATGATTTTTAGGATATATATTATGTAATTCATTATTTAGTTCAATTAGAGGACTTTCTTGTTTATCCCATTTTATAAATAACTGACGCTAATTAATATTTACAATTGTTCTTCATCTTAGATGAAAATCAAAATGTGATTTCATAATAAAGTCATCTTTCTATTCTTGAGGCGAACAAGTTGGTCTTTTTTGCTTTTGGTTTAGAGATTTTATTGTATGGTTGTCAATACCAAAAAGTTGAATCCTATTGAATTTTTTTGTAAAGTCTAAATTATTCCACACGTCAACTGGATTTTTATTTGTGAATGTGATTTGAAGTTTTTGATCTTGATAAACTTCAACAATACATAAAGTTTCTTCAATTTTAGAAATAAACAACGCATATTTATTTTCAAATTTATGAATAAGCGAAGATTTATATCTCAATCCAACATAATTCCAATTCATATTCATTGAATATCCTACTCCATATACAAATACTTTTATTTTTTCAAGTAAAAAGGAACAAGAAGTAAAAGAAACGTCTTCACTCAATTGATTTATTATATTTTCATTATTCTATTCTATTATTAGTGGATCAGAATAGCGAGTTTTTGTTCTAAAAATTTTTGAATAAACTTCAAAAATAGCATTAGTTGGATTATTTGCGATTCTTATAATATCATTACATTGGCACACATAACCTGGTAAAAAGATATTATTGTCTTTATTGCCAACAACTACTGTAACAGTAAATTCAAAGTTATTGAATGTTACTTTAATTGTTTGTTTCACTCGAATAGGAAAATAAGTTGTAATTTCTTCAGAATTAGGTAAAGGCTATCACCAATAGTGAGAATTTGGATCATAATGGTATTTTTCAACAAGTACACCTGGTGATATAAGACTAATATTTATTTTACGTTGTTTTGTTATTATAGTATGGGTGGGAATATAGTATTTATGCAAAATGTAAAAAACTGCTTTTTTATTATCGTTTATTAATCCCAAATTTTATTATAAATGATCGACATTTAGTGCCGATGTTAGATAGATCGGCGATTAATATATAAAATAAAATTTTAATAAAATTAGATTAGTTTATATTTACTAATATATTATTATATTCTTCTTTTCAAAATTTAAATAAATTCAAAATATCGCTACTTATGATATATCTTTGTTTTGGTTTAAAGATATTTTCAATTGGAGTTGAAGTTGAAACTATAAGAGCTGGAGTTGGAGTTGGAGTTGCTGAAGCAAGAGTAAAATTAGAATTATTTTCTAATTGTGCTAACTTTTGTTGATAAAGTTTAATTTGTTCTTGTAAATTTGAAATTGTTTCTGAAGATGATAATGATGTTTCCTTCTCACATATTAACTTTACTTTTATTGATTTTATCAAAGGTTTTATTCCTTATTCATTATCCCACCAAGTGTTTAATATTACCTAATGCTAAAAAAAATCTTCAATTTTACTTTCTATACTAATAACATTCACGCTAGAATATTAAATGACCTCTGGATTCCAAAATGTTCATTAGTTACTCACAAAGAAAAAAGTTTAGGTATCAAATTCCATCAAAAATGCAAACCTTCCTCACTTCTTAACAGATCCACTATTACCAACTTATATACTATTGACCCTTTACTCCAATCAAAAGATGATAAATATTCTAATCGGTACACTTTAATTGATAAATACATTTTTAGCAGACAATATTCTTTGCGAGTAGTAACTACTCATTTTTTTGGCAGTGATGAAACTTTGTTGAAAATCTTATATTTCATCCAAATGGAGTTGCCAAACGGTGTCCAGTTGAACTTGGTTTAATTTTTTTATTTTTCAGAGTTAGTATCTTTTACTTTGCATAGACTACTTGTATGTAATTATATTACTTTACTTGTTTTGTTAATAAAGTTTAAGATGCACTACCGCATCGAATTCAAAAATGCAAAAATGCAAAAAACGGATGGGAAATTCACGGTTAATTAAAATTTGGTTAATTAACGCCCATCCCTATGGAAGTCTAATTTTTTTATATATAGGATAATCTAAAATTTTCGAATTTAGATCTCTTCCCATTTTTTTCATGAATACCAAAATTATAGTCACGCCCGGTCAAAGATTAGGATTTGCTCAAGATTATGCTGCCGGCTCTGGCACTTATGTTCGTGGCAACTTGTTATATGCAAGTGTGGTTGGCGTAAAGCGTATATTAAAGACAACAGCAGAAGGAGAGGCAAGTTTACACAAATCAATAAAATTTTCTTATATCTAAACTATAAGCTGAGAGAATTAAAACATTGAGAAAAACTAGCCACCAGTATTGACCGTATCAAGGGAAAAAAAACAATCAGCCATACCGGAAGAATATAGCATTGTAAGTTTTGATGTTTTTTATCTGTAATTTACAATGTTAAAAATCTTTTTTGTAAAATTGTAGGTAACAGGCAAAGTTATTCGTATAACACCTAAAGAAGCTGTTGTATCCATAATGGTCGTTGGTAATTCCCCATGTAAAGAAGATTTTCAAGGAATAATACGGTATTATTTAAATCTATAAAAATTTTTTTTTGAAATCACTTTTTTCTATTATTCACGAGTTAAAAATTTTTTTTTTAAAGTCAACGAGATGTTCGCGCAACAGAGAAAGACAAGGTTAAAATTCATGATTCTTTTAGACCTGGAGACATAATCAGAGCAGAAGTGGTATCTATTCAGATTTAAACTATGATATATTTTTAATTAAATTTTAACGCGAATTGATTATAGATTTCGTTAGGAGATGCTCGATCTTATTACTTATCAACAGCTAAGAACGAACTTGGCGTAATTTACGCGCAAAGTGTGGAAGGTAAATAAATCATAATTTTGTTAAATATCGAAATGAGTATTAAAAACTTGGATGATTTTTATAGGTGCTGCTATGATACCAATATCATGGCAAGAGATGCAATGTACAAAAACGAATACGAAAGAGCTTCGAAAATGTGCGAAACCATTTTGAATGAAATAAAAATAATAAAGTAGTAAAAATGGCATTATCCACTAATTTATTTCTCCATCATGTAAGAAAAATGGATCTTTCTTACAAGCGATATATGCGGGTCGTGCAAGTGAATTATGTGCTACTTGTATATCCATATTGATGTCTTTAATTAGAGCATCTAATTAGGAGGAGGAGAAAATAAGTTTTAAGTATTTATTTATTTGTATTATTAAAGAAAGAAAAAACTTTGGTTATAATAATTCATACCTAATGTGCTATAATCTCGTTCTGGACGTATATAACCTAATACGATTACACGCAATTCCACTCCATAAAAATCTTCAGAGAATGTATGCATTATATGAACCTCCTAATTAATTAATTGAGATAAGTTCGAATTCTCTATAAAAAATATTTTCGCTTTTTTTCAAAAATTCGTATACGCACCGCGCTTCGTTTTTCATTTTTATAATAAGGATTCCAACCTAAACTCATTACCATAGGATATACGGTGTGATCGTTTCCAACCTGCACCCACCCAAGATAAATACCTGTTTCTACATCTTTACAAAGAGCTTCTGTTGCTGCTTCTTGAAGATTTGCTATTTAAGTAATAAAAATAAATAAATAAATCATCAATCAATTCGATTAGAAAATTTTTAAAGTTTATTGTTACCTGTTGGAATTCCCAATTCTTTACTCCCTCTTCCAAACCCTTGAATTACTTCACCTTTCATTTTGATAGGATATGGTGAATTAGGAACATCAGGTCCTACAATAAGAGGTCGTACTGTATCTAATTGTGCCATTTGATTAATGAAATTATCGAGTTCAAAATAATGGAAAATTATATAGAACGAAAAATAATTAAGCACATACAATATTTATATAGAAAATATAGAATACTAAAGGTTCGGTATTTATTTATTTATTTATTTTTATCATGTGTAATTGCACTAAGCTTTAATAATTGCATGCATAATTTATCATTATTAAATAACTAAATCACGTGTAAATGGAATTTTTAAAAAATTTTTATTCTCAGACTGAGAAAATTGATATATTTGAAAAGATTTACTTTTGCAAATGTTTAATTCAATCAATCCTTGTTTTGATGTAATTCATATCACATCTTTTTTTTTTTTTTTTTTTTGATATTATTATAAAAATAGAATATCCCAGTATATCTATTTGAGTATGCATAGCTTGCTAAATCATAAAAATGAGTAATAATCAATGAAAAATCGAACCAAACCAAAAAAACCAAAAAAAAACTATTTTGTGTATTATTAAACACGTCGTTTTTTAATTTGTATCGTTTCATCATCGTCATTGTTTACTCTCTTTTGGTTAACATTAGATTCCGATCCTTCATCATAACTTTTTCGTTTTGATGTAGATGATGCTGCTGCTGCTGCTTCTAATGCTGCTCCTGCCGCACTAGTGGTAGGAAGTTCAGCTGGATCTACGTCGCTTGCCTCATCTAGTTGATCACTCTCATCATCATCTTCTTCTTCATCGGGTTGAAAATCTTCTTCATCGGTATCATCCGGAAGATTCTAAGATTAAATACATTGCTGTAATATTATAATATACATTAAATAACATCAAACTATATTTTAAAAATTAATCTTACCGGATCATATAAATAATCTATTCCTGGACCTTCTTCTCCAGATTCATATTCCGATTCACTCTCGGACTCTGTCCTATCATCAAGGTCTGATGGAAATGCCACTTGTTTTCCTTTATTACGTGGTTTTGGCACGATATTTGTTTCTGCTTCTATCTCGCTCGCTTCCTAAAAAAAAAATAGATGATGTATTGATTTTCTACGCGTTTTAATCTTATAGAACTATTTTCATCAAATTACTACTAATGTACTTAATAGAGAATTAAAACCAACCAATTCTTCTTCATTATCAGATACTTCCTCGTTCTTTGAAAAGACAAAGATTAATTAGGTAAAAGGTAAGGATATTATTCAAATGACGATATAAATAATGACTTACATCATTTGCTTCTACATCTTGATCTGATTCGCTGCCTGCTTCGTCCGATACAGCTTCCTCACTTATTTCAGCCTCCTGGTTTTCTTCCTCGGAATCTTAATTATAAGAAATAAATACCTTTAATTAAAGAATAACGGCCTAAATAACTTATGGACTAATCTTGTCTTAAAGGTACCTGCATGACCATTTGACTGTACAACATCCTCCTCCTCCTCCTCCTCTTCTTCTTCATCAGCATCGCTTTCATCTTCTGAATCAATAGGTTCTCCCTTTCTATTTAAAGAGGAATAAATAGATGCATATATAATAAAGTGTCCAAGTTAATTAATAATAATAATAATAATCGTATATGTTTTTAATTAGTATTATTAATATAGTTAATTTTACCTATCTTGTTGATCAAGTGAATATAATTGAGGTATCATTTCAAGTAGAGCATCTCGATAATTTGCTTTCTGTGTAACTGGACATTCGATTAAACTTAGGTGTTTAAGATTCGGTAAATTGCGCTTGAAGGATAAAATTGGTTTAATACAAATCATAATAAAATTAATTATAATTTCTTCGAACCATTTAAGAAATTATAAAATAAAAACTTTTTTGGCAGCGGATTAAAAAGTCAACTAAATGCTTTACCAGTGGTTCGAGTGCTGATAAGTCATTTATTTTGTTACCGCTTAAATCAAGGTGGATTAACTTTTCAAGCTTAGCTTTTGCAAATGCCTCTAAACCACCTGTAAGTTTGTTGTCTGATAAAGCAAGCTACCATTCAAAAAAAAAAATATCTGGTTAAATTTTAAAGGTATATAACAATTTAAAGATATGGGTCATGATAAAGTAATAATACCCTTCTCAACTTTGGCAATGTAGGAAACCCTTCTAATGAATGTAAGTGAGTACGATTCATGGAAAGTGACTTCAAGTTGATCAACTCGGTAAGAAGTGTAAAATCTGATTGTTCGGAACTAATAATGTTGCTGATCGTCATGATCTTTTTGTTGTCAAGAATTAGTTCTTCGGGTTCAGTAGGATCCTTGAACTGAAGTTTACGCTTGAAGTCTTGGAGGTCTACCATGTTCATCCTTGTTGTTAGGCGAGAGTGTTCTTTAGATCAAAAACCAAAACAAAACTATTCAAGTCAAAAAAACGCGTTTATTCAGTGCGACGACGAAATATCTGATAGACTGTCTTTGATGGACAGACGTTCGTTGGACAGACGGTTGATCTAATAAAATAAGATTCTAAGAATTTTTCAATTTTAGAAACTGATTTTCTAGGCAATTTTCCATATTATATTTTTAGAACCTTTTTTTTTTTTTTTTAGTAAATCTTATATTTATTAGAATTGTTTTAATATAAATAAATAGCTATATAGACATCCCATAAACCTTATATAATAAATAGATAATTCTAAAAATTTTATATAATATATAATTTTATAGACCTTTTAATTTTGTTAATTTTTATTTTTATATAGAAAAAAACTATTAAAATCAAAATATATAATATTAAATAATTTTGAAAACTATAATATATAACTTTATTAATATTATTATATTTTAATTTTATATAAAAAAACCATTAAAATTATATTAAAATTATATATAATTTATTAATTATAATTTACTTAAATATAAAAATTAAATTTAAATAAAATATTAATTTAAAATATAAAAATTGACTTATATTTATTAATAATATAAGTCTAAAACTAATAAACTAATATTTATTTAAGTAATACTTATTTATATTTGAATAAATTCTATTATTATTTAATTGATAATAGGCACAATTGCTAATTTATTTTGCTAGATTTAACAATATTTAATATTAATCAGTATATTTAAAGATAAATAATTATTCAATTTCTTTAAATTAAATAAATTTTATAAACTAATTTGATAATATAACCTATATTAAAATTTATATTATTTAGTTTATTTTAAATCATCCATTTATAAATTAAATGAAAATAAATAAAAGTTATTTTATCAAAAACTAAAATAATATTAATTGAATTATTGAATTTTAAATTTTTAGACAATTTATTTATAATGAAAATATAACTGTTATACTAATTATAAGAATTAGTTAGAGTTACATATATAATAAACAAATAAATTATTACAAGTATCATTAACTCATATTATAATAAGATTTATTAGTTTCTAATTATTATTTTAAGTTTAAATTCTGATTAATATTTTGAGTTTTATTAGTCATTTATTAATATTAATTATAATATTCTGAATTTTTGATATTTTCTTATCAATATTAATAATAATATCTTAAATTTAAATTCTAATTTTATCAATTAGTTTAATAATCAAATATTTTTATTTTTGATTTCTTTCTATTTATTATATATTTAAATTTATTTTAAAATTATTAACCTATAAAATACATTTTGCTTATTATCTAATACTAGAGCTCCGAATCAGGTCAGGTCAACCTGTGACCCGACCCGACCCGACCTGAAAAATCCAGGTCAGGTAGACAAA